AATATAAAAAGATTTAACCAGCATTTAAAATTTCTGATTCTATTGAATACTTTGTAATCCTGAAATAATGCTTTCATTTCAATATTTTTTTAGAATATAAAAAGATTTAACCAGCATTTAAAATTTCTGATTCTATTGAATACTTTGTAATCCTGAAATAATGCTTTCATTTCAATATTTTTTTAGAATATAAAAAGATTTAACCAGCATTTAAAATTTCTGATTCTATTGAATACTTTGTAATCCTGAAATAATGCTTTCATTTCAATATTTTTTTAGAATATAAAAAGATTTAACCAGCATTTAAAATTTCTGATTCTATTGAATACTTTGTAATCCTGAAATAATGCTTTCATTTCAATATTTTTTTAGAATATAAAAAGATTTAACCAGCATTTAAAATTTCTGATTCTATTGAATACTTTGTAATCCTGAAATAATGCTTTCATTTCAATATTTTTTTAGAATATAAAAAGATTTAACCAGCATTTAAAATTTCTGATTCTATTGAATACTTTGTAATCCTGAAATAATGTTTTCATTTCAATATTTTTTTAGAATATAAAAAGATTTAACCAGCATTTAAAATTTCTGATTCTATTGAATACTTTGTAATCCTGAAATAATGCTTTCATTTCAATATTTTTTTAGAATATAAAAAGATTTAACCAGCATTTAAAATTTCTGATTCTATTGAATACTTTGTAATCCTGAAATAATGCTTTCATTTCAATATTTTTTTAGAATATAAAAAGATTTAACCAGCATTTAAAATTTCTGATTCTATTGAATACTTTGTAATCCTGAAATAATGCTTTCATTTCAATATTTTTTTAGAATATAAAAAGATTTAACCAGCATTTAAAATTTCTGATTCTATTGAATACTTTGTAATCCTGAAATAATGCTTTCATTTCAATATTTTTTTAGAATATAAAAAGATTTAACCAGCATTTAAAATTTCTGATTCTATTGAATACTTTGTAATCCTGAAATAATGCTTTCATTTCAATATTTTTTTAGAATATAAAAAGATTTAACCAGCATTTAAAATTTCTGATTCTATTGAATACTTTGTAATCCTGAAATAATGCTTTCATTTCAATATTTTTTTAGAATATAAAAAGATTTAACCAGCATTTAAAATTTCTGATTCTATTGAATACTTTGTAATCCTGAAATAATGCTTTCATTTCAATATTTTTTTAGAATATAAAAAGATTTAACCAGCATTTAAAATTTCTGATTCTATTGAATACTTTGTAATCCTGAAATAATGTTTTCATTTCAATATTTTTTTAGAATATAAAAAGATTTAACCAGCATTTAAAATTTCTGATTCTATTGAATACTTTGTAATCCTGAAATAATGCTTTCATTTCAATATTTTTTTAGAATATAAAAAGATTTAACCAGCATTTAAAATTTCTGATTCTATTGAATACTTTGTAATCCTGAATATATATATATATATATATATATATATATATATATATATATATATATATTATATATAATAATAACACCGGCATACAAAAAAAAAGTCAGTAGTTTTGACGGGACCCATATATCTTTATGTATTTCGACCCGCTGAATCCGAATTCGAGGTCAGTTTGACCCGTACACCGTTAAACTTTCGAGAAAACTTTGAAAAACCGAAAAAAATGACGAAAATCGGCAATTTAGGCGATTTAAAATGATTTAAAAAATTTTTTTGACCTAAGCTAAGCATGATTTTGATGTATTTCGACCCGCTTAATACATATCTGAAGTTTATTTAGATCATAAGCCATTAAAAGTTTAAGTAAATTTCAAAAAACCCTGAAAAATGGCAAAAAAAGCAAAAAATTCCAGATATTGTGTTGTAACGGATGGTTTATTTCCTGCTCATCGGCCCCTGATTAAATTTAAATGATAAGACAAAAATAACAAAATAGCAAAAATGATCCTAAGATTTACCAGGGCACCACCAGGATTTTTCAATGCGGTTCCTGGAACCGGAAACCAGAGCTGAGTTTATAACCTACAGGGAGAGAGAGTGGAGGAAGGTGTTCTGAAAATGAATAAATTTTTATTTAACAACGGATCCAACAATTTATTAACAAAATGAAATAACAACTTGTGCACTTGCACCTACACTATCTCACTTACTACTACTTAACACTACGACTTACTACTACTCCTCTCAACTCAACTTAACCTAGGTAGCCAGCAAGGCACCTCGTACAGAGGCTATCGTATACGAGGGCGATGTGTAATCCTTATAACTATCAAAAGGTCCTATTCTTGCAGTACCCTCATACGGAGCGTCTATACTGCAGTTTCTATCTTACTACCGCTGTACCCCACTTGGCGTCTATACAACGGCTTCTAGGATTTCCCGCCCCGGAGTCAGATGGACTCAAGCGTGCTCAACGTGCCTCTTGAGCGGTACTATCTCGCACACACATTACCCACCCGTCTCCACACACATATCCCGCTCACACACATACTGACTCTACTTTACTTTTTATTTCCGGATTTACAAAATTAAACTCCAAAAATGTCAATTTTAAATTCTTACTAAATTTTTTCAGTCATTAGCTTGCAATAAAAATCAGAAACAATTTTCCATGATTAATAATTTCTTCCTTAAAAATTCCGGCTTAAAACCGACGCTTCTTTTCCCTCCAAATTTAACACGAGCTTAACTCAGCACATTAACAGATTCTAAGAATATTCTTTATAAAATTAACTAAATTTTACGGACGTAATCCACACTGATAAATAGTTTTACGAAAAATTCTACCGGAATATTGATATTAAATTATTGACAAATTTTCCAGGACATGATTTCAATATATAAGACAACCCAAGTAGAAATCGGCAATTAAATTAGATAATTAATTAATAATTTTCTCAATATAAAAATCACTTGCCTAAGGTTTTTCTACGGGTGTATCAGTCTTATCTGCGCCGAAATTTAGTAAATTAATTCTCAATAATTAATAACACGTGGAATAATTACTTTCTGGTAATTGAGAATGACGATTAGATAATTAATAATTCACCTCGGTGTAAAAATAAATACAGAAAATTATCCACGGCGTTCAATTTCTAAATGCGTCGCAGTTTTTCAATAATTAAATTTCCGGTTATTAAAATTGTTTCCAAATATAATATAAATAATTTTCAATAGATAATCAAATATAAATCAATATAAAATAGTAATTAAATGGTAATTCAATTGCTATAATTTATAATAATAGTCCAGTTATTAATTTTATAAATTTACTGCGTCACAAAATTCACAAGGAATTTGCGCGCTCAAAATGGACGCCGTTGTTCGTTACTGCGTAGCAAGCTTGACCTCGGGTACCGACGCTTGACCAAGTCGTGAGTTGCTGATTGGAATATTTCTCGATGTTCAGAATTTAATTAAATTTTAATAATAAAGATGAATTTAATTTAGCCAATCTTGAGATGTTAATAATTATTAACTAGCTGTATTAATAAAATTAATTATTCACGACATGCAAACCCAAGAGGTCTAGAACATTCCTCGGGTGTAAAATCCCCAAGAAGAATGCTCAAACTGCTAACGAATGCTACCCATTGAATTTAACGAATCAAATCGACTAAATAATTAATTGTTACTAAGCAAGTTATTGTTAAACAATTGAATTACCAAAAATTGAATTTATAAGTGAGAAGTAGTATTATTGATGAGCCGGGTATTTGGCCCCAAGGCTCATCACTACCAAAGTCCAATACCTGGTGTAAATTGGCTTGAAGAACTCCCGGGCTGCCTTCTTGGACTTCAGGATCTTACTCGTTTCAGCACTTCACTACTTCTCCCGACGCAACGCATGGCGATTTATCGATTAAGGGTAATTTACCCTGTTACAGTGTTAAAAAAAATTTTATAAAATTAGATCAATCATGATTCTCATGTATTTCGATCCACCGAATATAAATCTCGAATTTATATGGCTCAGACATCTCTAAAAATCTAAATAAATGGCAAAAAACCACTGAAAATTAAAATAAATCAAGCCCGTTATGATAAAAATTAATTTTCAAATAAAAATAAAAAATTTTTAATATGTTATCCGATCTGTGGAATATAAATTTTAAATTTTTTGACCTAAATCCTCAAAAAATTTTCGTTAATTCTTCTTTCTTTGATATCATTTTTATTACACCTGTGTCTTGGTGGAATCCTCTTGCAACACTACTGTTGGCTAACAATCAGGGTTCACAAAATATCCCTGCTTTTTATGTTTGTGGGATAGTCGCGATCGAAAAAATCACTATGTTAAAAAAGAATGACCAACGAGAACGAATTTGAATCCTGGTTCTCACAATGTTACCCGAGAACCTCTAATTGATCCTTCCAAGTACTTACTACCGCCACTTTACATGAAGCTTGGTACGAGTCGAAATTTAGAGCCCAAATAGAGCCTCCTAAGGTAGGACTCCGGTCGGACCTCTGGGCTCTAAGTCGGGTCTATTTTCATGTTAAATTAAGTCCGACTTTAGACCCGAAAGTGGTACAAATTTCCGTTTTTACCACTTTAGTGTCTAAAGTCGGACCTAATTTAACACGTGCATAGAACCTACTTAGAGCCCAGAAGTCCGACAAGATTATACTATAACGCATGCAAAATTTATTCTGCGCACACCAGGCTCCTATGATCCACCATTTTGTTATTAACTATAAACATATTTTGAATAAAAAATTAATAGAAGAGAACTTTTATAGTTTTTAGTTCAAAGTGCATTTTGGACTCAGGAATTTACCAGATATAACATACGTTAGTCTAAACTTACACTCGCCTACCTAGCCAGAAGAAATAAATTAAAAATACGCCCTAACCAAGATTCGAACACACGACCCTTTTTTTTTTTTTTTTTGGTTTGAGAAAGGTTATTTATTTTGATTGTTAGTCTTTTTACATAATTAAGTAACAAATACCTTATAAAACTTACTCACTAATTTTTGAATTTAAATATTTTAGTAGTCTTCAAATGAAGCGTCTCTCTAAAAAACAATTATATTAAAAATATTATAAACTTGAAAATTCCTGTTATACAGTGACTATTATTTAAATAAGTAAATATGTGATGGGAAAAAAAAAATTAAAAAATAATAAAAACCATTCAAACAGTATCGGGCCTGAGAGGCCGGTAGTGGAAGGGGAAGAGGGAGGGAAAAGGAATGGGAAAGGGGGGTTATTAAGGAATATGTACATATATACAATTATATAGATAAAATAATGCTAAAATTGCACACAGTGAAATGATCAGCTTGTTCACAGCAGCTATCGGCGGTTTTGGCGTTGTATCCTTCTTTGAAATTTTAATCTGGCTCTGCGAACACACGACCCTACAGACGCGAAGCCGACGCTTAACCGATTACGCTACTACGAACGATAGTACGTGAATCAATTTTGTTTGAATATGAATTATTGACTGTATTGAAATATAGGTGACAAGTTAGAAATGCTGTCAATCGTCGTTACAACTATACTAGTAAAGCTACTTACTATAATTAATTAAATTCAAAAGAATTTTTTTTAACTTACCGCTAAGAAAATTGAAAATTTTCGAAAACCGGGAAGTTAAAAATATTTCGTAAAAATTGAAATAATTATTTATTAATTTTTACAAAATCTAAATGTACCTTTTCGGTTTTTTAAAATGTTTAAAGAATTTTCAAAAATTTTTAAACATTTTAAAAAGCTGTAAAAAATTTTAAATAAGATTTTAAAATATTTTCTTAAACTTTAAAGAGCTTTAAAGAATTTTTAAAAATTTTAAAATACTTTGAAGAATTTTTCGTAATTATATAGAATAAGACTGAGGTTTTATCAAATTATGAAATCACAATGAAAAATTGTTTTCAACCAAATGATTTATTTTTTTTTAAATTCCATCGAAAATGGAATAATTTAAAAAAAAATGAAATTAATATTTTTGGAAATTTTTTTTTTAATTGTTTAGTTTTTGATACGTAACAAGATGCAAAGTTCAAATTCAACCAAATTTCAGTGTTTGACCATCAAATTCTTGATCAAAAGTCAAAATTTTTATTTTTTACTCTTCAAATGCAATTACCTTAGCTTAAGGGATGATTTGAGCTAAAGTTAAATTTTTATTATAAATACGCCGTGGAGATAAACAATTTAAAGAAAAAAAAATTCCGAAAAATATTAATTTTTCGATTTTTTATCCTCAAAAAACATGCGAGCTCCACTTCTATATAATTACTAAATTTTCAACATTTTAAAAAGCTTTAAAGAATTTTACAAAATATTTTTAAAATTTTCTAAAATCTCTTTACTTTCAAGTATAATGTTGTAAGGTTTGTATACAACTATCGCAGCAAAAAATAAGGAAATTATTAATATTATTAAAATTAATAATATTAATTTGAAAATAAAATTTTTTTTTTCAATGACGAATTTTCATATTTAATCTCTAAAAATTTTATGTACATCTCTGGAAAAATATAAGTAATAAATTTATTCGTTGATATACCTCTGAGAGCTTAGCTGTCAGTTTGAAAATACGAATAATTTTCATTAATTAACGGGTACAAATCTTAATAAATAAACAAATTACGATTAATTAGCTTCTCCTTTACGACACAACTTAAAAAAATTCTCTCGTTTATGTTGTCTAAATAAAAAAAAATTAATTAACAAGTTCACTGATAAATAAATAAATGGTAAAAATAATGATTTCAATTTTATATCGGACTTCGGGGTTTAAAATCGGATCTCCTCTTGTAGGAAAAAAATTATATACAACGGGGCTTGTCTTGGCACAATACTGGGTTGCCCAGACTCGGCCGAACAATACTGGCCCACGACTGGACAACTACTCAGCTGACAAGTCTTGGTTTGCCAGTCTTGGACCAAGACCCAGCCACTACTCAGCTGACAAGTCTTGGTTTGCCAGTCTTGGACCAAGATCCAGCCAATATTCAACTGACAAGCCTTGGTTTGCCAGTCTTAAACCAAGACCCAGCCAATATTTAACTGACAAGCCTTGGTTTGCCAGTCTTGAACCAAGACCCAGCCAATAGTCAATTGACAAGTCTTGTTAAACTACTCTTGTACCAAGATCTAGCCAATGTCTATGTAACAAGTCTTGGTTTGCCAGTCTTGAACCAAGACTCAGCCAATATTCAAGTGACAAGTCTTGGTTTATTACTCTTGGACCAAGACCCAGCCAATGTCTATGTAACGAGCCTTGGTTTGCCAGTCTTGAACCAAGACCCAGCCAATATTCAAGTGACAAGCCTTGGTTTACTACTCTTGGACCAAGACCCATCAGCCAATGTCTATGTAACGAGTGTTGGTTTGCCAGCCTTGATTTAAGAGTTAACCAATATTTAATTAACAAGGCTTCACAGAAAAAAAAAGTTAACTTGAATCAAGTGAAAAATTCTTGAACCAAAAGAAAATAAAGTTGAAAAGTTTTATTGTTTTAAATCAAGACGAAAAATTCTTTAATCAAGTTGAAATTATTTAAACCAAGAAAAATTTCTTGGTTTAAGAAATTTTTTACTTAAATCAAGGAGATGAAGTTCTTCAAAATTATTTACTTGATTCTCATTAATTGTTTTTTCTGTGTTGGCTTATTATCCTTGGCCCAAGGCCCAGCCAATATTCAACTGATGTCTTGGTTTGCCAGTGTTGAACCAAGACCCAGCCACTATTGACATTGTTAAAACTGTAAATTTGACAGTTTTTCTGTCATTTTATTGTTTTGTTTTTTTCTATGTAGTATATACTTAAAAAAAATTTGAAATCCGTTTCTGCTTCAACTATAGTGTCTATGCACTAAAAAAAAATTTTTTTTCCATCTAGAATATTAAATTTTTTACTCGAGTTTTTTTGATTAAAAAGCTGGTTTTCTTAACTTTAAAATACCACATTTTATTATAAGGCTAGTTTTTTGACAGGCAAAAAAATTTATTCTTATAGTTAAAAAAACTTTTGTATTCTAATCATAAGAATACCAATTTTTTAACCATAAGAAAAAATTTCCTAGGCATAAAAAAACTTTTTTTTCAGTGTGTATTAATTATATTTTATAGCATTATGAAAATAACTATTTTATCAGCCAAGTCGTAATTAATCACAAGCTATCCAATAGCTTTAACATATACATTTATACATACGTTTAAAATTTAAAAATTCATAATATTTTTATACACACATGTAGATTTAAAACTTTACCTAATAATGTGGCCGGCCCAATGATTTTTTTTCCTATTATCTTCTAGTCATTATTAACAAGTAACAAATTGTCAACAATAACCTTCAAATAAACACGAGGTTCCAGTCTTTCACTAGAGAATAATAGGAAAAAATTTTTTTACGAGTTTTTTAATCTATTCGATTGGATATGGTTAATTTTATTTATTACGGACTCTAAATATAAAAATAAAATAAAAAAATTTATTTGTATATTAAAATATCATGCGCAGTAATTTTTTGTAAATTGAGGACTATGTGTTTTTATTTTGTAAAATTTTAAGATATTTATTAATTTATTATTTTTTTAGATATATTTGTATTGAGTTTTTAATTTTACATGAAAATTGTTAATGGTTTATTTGCTTGTAAACAAATAGGTGCCTGATGATGTCAGAATATAATATTTATAAAAAAAAGCATTGTTAATAATTTAAATTGGTGATTTCTCCTAAAAAAAATCTCGTAAGATATTTTTTAAAAATTGATTTACTAATTTTTAGTACATATTAGGTTATAACTTGGTCAAACGTTAAATTAAAACAATAATACAACATAGTAATGACTAACACGTATTAATTGTTTTCAAGTGTAATAAACAATTAGCCAGAGCATCGGCCAAGCAATGGCTGATAATCAAATCACATACCATTATGTTATAATAAATATCATGCGGTAGCCGATAGCTTACCTAGACTCGGCCAGTACAAAACGCCAATGCTTGGCCGAACATTAAAGCCGATGGTTTACCGAGGCTAGGCCGATACAAAACGCTGATACTTGGCCGAGCATTAGCAGCCGTGCCTTGGCCAATGAACGGAAATTGTTGAGCATCGGCAACTTTGTATGGGTATTAGTCTCTCGTACTATTGCATTCTTATTGCTAGTCATTACTACGAGTATTTCTAACTCTTTTTAAGTGAATAACAGGTAAATTGAGCAGACAGTTAAGTAGTCTTTTACCCTGTTTTGCTAATAAACAGTTTGATATTTTGTTTTAATTATTTTGTAATAAATAATTCAGTTTTACTTGGCTGATAATCTGAGCAGTTCAAGTAATTCATATCAGTTAATTTAGTCTAGTTTAAATTACTGATTTACTACGAGTTAAGAGTGAATGTTGCCAAGTTGGGCAATCTGTGGTGAATTATTATTCATGTTTAGTGAATAAATAATATATCAAAACGAAGATCCAGTTTATTATCTTGTACTTCGCCCCACATCATCCGATTCCAGGCTGAGGTTGAGGGTGAATTCGCTGTAACAGGCACCAGAGGCCATATTCCAGTTCATTCATGGAAACAGATCATCCACTCGAACTTCATCTAAGTCAATTACTAAGTATTGGTGTTGGTTATTTAGTTGATTGTGAGGCCTAGTTCGAGGTATTTATCATTAGACTTATTAACGACCCGAGTCTCTGTAGCCGGCAGGACTCACTTTATTTGAAACGTACCCTGATGGGTTAAAGTCTAGTATATAATTTATCAATCTAATTTATTTATTATTTAATAAATAAACAAAACCCCCACAACGTTTCATAACACATGAAACTTTGTAGCAAGACTGAAAAACTATGATAACAACTATAAATACAACTTAAACTACGAATAACTTTTAAAGGAATGATTTTATCGAAGAATTATAAGAAAACTTTTTTGTAGAGCATTCAATTTTCTATCAGAATCTGCATCGATAATAGTCGTTGTGGCATTTTTTTCGGTGGAAAAAAAATTAATAACAAAAAGTTGCAAATTCCCATGTTATTTAAATGGAAAATGTAACTCGATT